GCCTGCGTTCCAAGACATTCAAATATCGTATAATAAGACGAGTTTCAAAATGTGCTCAAGTTTCAATTTAAATCCAATAGAAAATCAAATGCTATCGTCCAGTAAGACCTGCCATGCCATAGAAAGGGACATCTCTTTAAAATTAATGCAGATAGTCCTGCATCCCACCTTAATTAAAAACTGCTTCTGTAAAAGTGGTCTGACTCATCAAAAATGTGTTGCAGATGGCAGTAGTTGCAGATGATACAGCTCTTGAATACCACAAATGGGAAGAATTCTCTTGTGAAGACATGGAAGGAAATTTTGAAGACATTGTCAAATTGGATAATGAACTAGAAACTTCTGCCCCTCTTAGTGAAATTCAAGATCCTTGTCAACAAGAAAAAGAAAGTAACAGCAAAAAGAAAAATAATGAAGAACAAAAAAGAAAAGAAAAGATACCCCAGTGTAGTGATTGCAAATTTACTAGGTATTGCATTACCAGTAATTCTATCTGGTCACTGTATTTGAGACCACTGTACTATGTTATTGTCATTCCATCTTATAATAATAACTTCTCCAAACATATAAAATCTGTAATTATGAACATCCACATTTTTTTTTTTTGCCATTAATTTATACAACTTAGAGGGCAATGTTAAATCATTCTCTCAAATTATCCCAGTAGCAAAACTATCTTGTTTTTTTAGGTGTATCATCAAGTAGTAGAAAGTGAAGAAGTTGTCAAATTAGACTGAATGAGACACTAGCTCAGTTAATACATGCAGTAAGTCAATCACAATATTTTTAAAACCAAGTGTTTTTCCCAGACCTTTTGAGCAGCTGATTTCCCAGTGTAAATCAAAAGTAAAGATGAAACCATCTGCAGAGGCCTAAAACCATCGCTTTGTATCAAAGTACAGTGGAACCCTGGTTAACGAATTTAATCCATTCCGCGACTCCATTCGTTAACTGAACTGTTTGTTAACCAAAGCAATTTTTCCAATAGAAATTAATGCAAATGCAATTAATCCATTCTAGTCTCCGAAATTTTTGTGATTTTATTTGTAATATACAGTAATTTTCTTTGATGAGAATGTAGGAAAACATAATATCTAACATTACAGCAACAAACATGTAAACTTTGTTTAATAAAATAGCACTGTACATATCTTCGTTTGTTGTAGTTGGTGGCAGAAAAGCAGAGATATACGAAGCTTAATGCTTAGAAGGGGAATTCCCTCCAAAAAATAACGGGTAGCACTTCATCGGAAGATTCTTCAAGTCAAAGTCTCTTTCGGTAAAAATAAAAAAACCCACCAGTGGCTAAGTGGTCTTCGTACCTTGAACACAGGGAGTTCGTTCATGGGTTCGCACCTCGCTCAGACGGGCTGACCACATGGAGTTTTCCGGGTTTTCTCCATGTCTGTAACACCTAAATAGGGGCCAGTTTTCCTTAAAAACACCTCCCAGAAGGCATTCCCCCTAGGCAGATCACCCAAGTATTGCATTGCCATAACTTAACTAACAAACAAACTCTTTCCGTAAGGTACAAGAAATTGATCTAAAGTTGATTGTCTTACTCTTTTAAGCAAAATCTTTCTCAAACGGAATAGCGCATTGTCGTTTATATTGCGTTGTTGTTTTCTATTGCCATTATGACTTTTTTCTTTCTTGGATGTCATATTGATTAAATATATAAATCACAAAACTGAAAAAAGAAGTATAGCACAAACACTCGGAAAAGCAATGCTTAACTCGCGCATGCCTAACACCAACTAAAATTTGACACAAAATACCGTTACGTTCGTTATCCGAATTTTGTTCATTATCCGAGACAAAATTTTTGCAAAATAAAAGTTCGTTAACTGATTTGGTCGTTAACCAGGACGTTCATTAACCGGGGTTCCACTGTATATGGGTAACACACAAACATCTTTAATGAATCCTCTATATGGAATCATTTGTCTGTCTATACTGAGATTATGTTGAACAATTCCAAATTACTGAAACTTTTTATTCAAAAGAGGAAAATTTTTCTCTTTTGAATAAAAAGTTTCTAAACTTTCTATGTAAGACCTGATCTTATACATCTCAACGAACTAGAACTTTAATTTTGGTCATAAATTACCTGCACTTAAAAAATACTCTAATTAAAAAATAAAATTTGTTGTTATTGACAAGACTATGTCTTGTTTATAAAATATACTGCCTGCTGTGTTACCAGCTTAGAGGTATGAAGAAGTACAGTACATGTCAGGAGTTGATATTTGGCCCAAAGTATTTGGTGCCCAAATCATGCGCGCATAAAAGAAACCAGACTTGTAGGTACTCAGGGGACTGAGAACTGAGTCAAAATAAAATACAAAATGGCGGCACTCTCTATAAACAGGTAGCAGTGTGAGATTTGCACATGCATTGCTGGTTGGAAAATTGGAAATGCAAACATTGCAAAATCAAATTTTGAAAAATACGGCATTGGGAAGTTTGAAATGAGAAATCGAATTTTCACAAACGAATCTTTGAAAAAACCCATTTACCTGTCCTGTGTTATTTCCCACATATGTCTGGTCGCCACATGCTGACCTTGACTGGTTAACCCAAGATATCTCATTTCAGAATCGGAACATTTTTCAAAGTAGATGGCGTTATAATTTTATATTATAACTAACTTCTGACATATAATTTTTTTTTTATTTTTACATTTATTAATATATATATATATATTGTTTGTGCAAAATAAAAATATAATTTCAGACGATATGATAGCCATGATTATTTTTTTCAAAAATGGGAAATTTTCATTAGGCATCGACAAAAATTCAACACAGGGTGACATGCAATGGAAAGAAATGTCAAAATTGGATAGGTTTCAAAAATGCATCTTTGACGACCTTGTGGTTGTGGCCGTGGCCAGCAAAGTTTGAGCAATTGCAGTCAAAACCAGCAATATAAAGAAGATTGGAAAATAAGGAGACCCACTTTGAGAATCAAAGTGATCCCGCTTAGTAGTGAGTCTCCGAAACATAGACTTGTCCCAAATACTGCTTTGCCATTTTACTTGTTTGTATTTTAATTTTTTGTTATGAGTGTTATTTTTGGAAAAAGGATATCAACTGTCTTGTGACATTTCCTTTTGTATATGTAATAAATAAATAAATAAAAACTTCAAATCCCAATTGAATATAAATTTTCCAACTTAGCAACATGTTCAACTGTTAGTATAGTCTAAATTTTAGCATAAATTTCACATTAATAATCTTAAAAATTAGTTTGAATATCCTTGTTCAGGTGCATTTACTTCACTTTATTGAATAGCTGTTATTTTGTCAAAACACCTTCAGTTTTCAAACTTAGTAACAAAGAAAAAATTCAAATGTCATAACAAACTTCTCCAGGGACAGTGGGATGAGCAGAATATGTTATCACTTTAACTCAACATGTCATGAAATTGAATCTGTCAGAAATGTTTCAAGTTTCAACATAATTTAGGTGAATTACAAAATTATATGAGTTAATTACATGAACATAAGAAATTACTCAAATTGAAAAAATAAAAATGGTTTTTTATTTTTTTTAAATTATTTCTTAATTGTCCAAAAAGCTTATTTTTCCATTAATTTTATCTAAAAACAACTATTCAAGGAATATGATCATTTACAATAGTTTCAAACCACAGTAACCATTACTCAAACCTTTAAAGATGCAGTATAATCTTAATTTTAAAATGTTTTCCATCATCTTAAACGACCTTCTTTATGATAGAAAGAAACAAATTTCAATTAAAACTTTTTTTTTAAATGAAATTTGAATGAAAAGGTTTTAAAATTAAAATTATACTGCATTTTTAAAGGTTTGAGTAGTAGTATTGTGTTTTATGACAAGTGCAGTTTTCACAAAAGTATAAAAGATCTTTGAAGAACACTGAATTTTAATATACAATTTTTTTAATAAAAATTCCTCAATTTTTTAATCTTTGAATCTATCAAATTTTTAATAATATTTCTGTAATATATATGTTACTTAGAGAATGTCGATATTCTCTGGTGAATGTCAACACACACAAAATACATCAGTGAAAAACCAAATATTTGGTTATATTATTATACACTTGAACAGTCGCTGATGTATGTCAACAAGCACAGATAAACTTTGGTGGAAGTCAAAACGACACCTGAGAAGCTGATGTTGATGGAGAGGCGACAGTCTGTCACCAAATTCTTTGCTTTCCTTCTACTCAAATTGGTGATACCGTATGAATACAAGTCCCTGATGTTGACCTTGACCATACAAATGCCTTAAACGTGTTGGTGGTTGTTGTTGGAATAGAAGACTCCGACTTTTATAAATTAGCAAACAAAAATGGTACCCTCAAGCAGCTTTATACCTGTAATCAGTTCGTAATTTGTAAAGAAAAGTTACTTTCCATAGATGAGATTTCTTCTCAAGAAATATTGCAGAGAGAAGCAGCTGCAGCTAATTTGAAAAGCGGAAGGCAAGGTTATACACACTGTCATTGCAAAAAGAAGTGTTCCACGAATAAATGCAGTTGTAAAAGCAAGGGACTCTTGTGCAATTCAAAGTGCCATAACAGTTTAAGTTATTGCAATAAATAAGATTGTATAATGTTAATCACATAATTTATGTGTAAGTTTATTATTGTATTATTTTCTTTAATGATTTAGAATGTACTGTTCATTTTAGGTTCAACGGTTTATTTATATGTACTGTTACTTAAGCTTTCTCCTATTTAAAAATTGCATTTTTGTCTTAACGTAATAAAAATATTTTTATTCACCACCAGTGCATGCTGAATGTCGACATTTGCCTGTGTAAGTGAGAAATAATGTTATTTAGCAAATATTTTGTACATACACGAAACAACTGTGTGAATGCTGACATTCACCAGATATCAGTCATTCACAGTAACATATATATATATATAATTATGTTGTTACATAGTGTTTTAAGAATAGATTGCTTCTCATACATTTCAATTAATAAACTTCAATGATACTCACTTTTGTTTAGTGGATTTGAAGGAACACTTCTATATATTCAACATTTCTCAACAATGTTTACATTTATATTAAATTGGAGATGGTAAACCTGTAAATAATAATAATAAATTCTTACCATTTCGGAAGACATAATTTCTTTGTAGTAGTAGTCGTTCTTGTAGGAACACTTGGAGAAGACGATGTGTTTGTGAATCTGTCGGCCCTCTATATATACTAGTATTTCAAGGTCTGGTCCACCCAATTTAGTGGGAAATTACCGGTTAATTCCAGGAAAAACAACTTGTGCAAGAAGTTACTTGAATGATAAATTAGATTCTCGACACAATTCTATACATACCAGTATTTCAAGGTCTGGTCCACCCAATTTAGTGAGAAAAAATTAATTATTTTATCCGGCTTGGACCGGTTAGTTCCAGGAAAAGAAGGAATTGTTACTTGACACAATTTATAAAAACAACTCTTTGTATTTCAAGGTCTGGTCGACCCAATTTAGT